TTTTTTTTTTTTAATGTGTAGACAGATTTTTTTATCGCACCAATAGCTAATTTATTTCTATGGAAATAAAATATGCTGTCAAGATCCAATAATATATAAATGCAAATAGGTATAAATTCTTCATTAGACAAGGATGGAAATAAGTAAAAGATATATGACAAATGACTTAAGTAAAGTATGTCATAAAGGTTATATGAAACCTGAGCGTCATGCAATAAATATGTCCGGAGGGAGGTGCTAACAGCTGTCATACAGTTTTATTATTAAAACTAGCAAAGTTGTTAACGTGATCTCGTCATAACAGTGTTTAATTATGCTACTTATACAAAAACAAACCTGTAATTTGTAATAAGATATTGTGTAAAGAAAGAGACAAAATAAACATGTTATTATTATTATTATGCAATAAGAATAGTTCAACTGTGCCGTCACATTAAAATGAATGTCTTACTGCTCATTACTGCTTTTTAGTTCTGCTCAATTGTGAAATATGTAAAACAATGTCATGAAGTTAAGCCATCATCATCACCAGCCTATTTGTAACCCTACTTCTGGGGTACAGGCTTCCCTATGGATATAATTGTTTCAAATCGAATAAGGACAGTATAATTTTTCATATTTTTGTATTGCTGACATTTAATTCTATTATTAGATTGTTATTGTAATTTGATTTGACCTATATTTTTTGACATTATTAATAATATTTGATCATTATAATTTAAGTGTTATTATTGTCTTATTGCATGTTCTCTATTTAATTTTTTTTATTTTAATAATCTAATCTTGCAAGCGTTTTGGATGGAAACATCTGTTAGCTTTTAAGACTTGTTTGTAATAAATAAATAAATAAATAAATAGGGACAATAGGTCGTGACCAACCACGTGAGGGGGTGGTGGGTTTCAATGACAGCAGATGTCAGGACCAGTGGTTTAATGTTACCTTAAAACTTTTTGTGGTCATCCATCCTATGATCGGCCCGTGCGAAAGTTTATTTTCAACCGTATTGCAAACTGAATGCGTTAACCACTATGCCATTCCGCTCTTCCTGATTTATACATATAAATAAATAATTTTGCGAAAAGCAATTAAATCCACAATACTTATTTAATGATATGCTTCTAAATATTTTTTTTCTCCTTTTAATTGTTATTGTTGTATTTAATTTGTATAAATTAAGTTAAAAATTGTAATTCTTAATTAAGAATGTAAGATTCAAACTGTAATGGACCAATGGACTTGAAACTTTACGAAAGTCTCTTCGAATATTTTAAAACCCTAAATTCTGATTCATTATCTTGAATTATTACATTCCATTCAATTAGGCTATTCAGCGAAGGTAATAACGGTTGAAAGTAGCCAATATAAATAACATTTAATAGCTTTGTTTAAGAACACAACTTTGGCGGAATTTGTTTACTTAATGGAAAAGATTGCTCCAAAAGGGAAATTTAAATTTTTGATTTGAATGCAGAAGTTATGGCAACATATATTTAACATTAACATTGCAAATTCATTATTTAGCAAACAACCGACAATAATAGATATTATTATAGTTAAATATTAAACACGGAAAAATTAAATAAAAACGATAGAAAGCTTATTGGGTGTATTTGTTACCGGTAAGAGCTCTCCGAATCCGCACCCATCCTGAAAAGGACAGGCTTAAGCGAGGCCGGAAGGACACGGGATTCGTTAAGGAGCCCGCCAGGTACAGCCCTACTTCTGCCTACTCCCCCCTTCCTGCGGGCTGGGAAAGGACGAGGGTACCTGACTGCCTTTTTCCTAGGAGGAGCTGCGCTAATACGCAATCCTCTCCCCCTTGTTGTCCGCAGTGCAGAGAACACTATCCAGGCCTCCCATCTGGAGCTCCTTGGGCTAAGGGCTCCATGGCTATCTCCTCGGGCCTCCGTCGCATTGCTCTCCTACCCGCGGCCTATAGGGTCCGTCGCCCATTGGTGCTGCCAAGGTAGTACTACGCGAAAGCGTAGCCCAACCTGGCAGCGTCGGGTGGAGTGGGACATCGCATACAATACCTAGAATCAATACAATACACAATCCAACAATTACTTCACTGAAATTACTTGGGATATAATATATTTGATAAGTCATATAAAACAAAACGCATAGTCGGTTGTTTCTAACGCTTACATCTAGCCTGTGGTTGTTTCCTTTTATGTGATGATTTTTAATCATCTGCTTGGTGCATAATAAAAGCTGGCTCATTCTTGGCTGTAATAATTAGCTCCATTGTATAATATTTTACTTTTAAATAAAATGTTTAAGCTTGTTTTTTGTTTTTCGTAGTTTCATCTAGTAATATATTAATAAAAGAAATAAAAACTTTAGAGATGTGTCAAATTCGCTACATATAATTTATACGGAAAAGAAGATTAGTATTTTATGGAAAAAGAAAATCGACTTCCTTTTATGCATGTTCACATTGTTTAATGCAAAGTTAAATACCCTTGAGCCGTTTATCTAAATCAATCAAAACATTTTTTTTAAAAACATTAAAAAAGCAATGATATACTGGGTGTTAGGGGAACGCTTCCGAAAACGAAAACCAGTGATAGAGTAAGTGATTCTGGATACATTGCAATGAAAAAATGATTACTTTATTTTTCAAAAAAAATATGTTATTTTTATTATTTTTTTCATTTTTAGCGATGTAAAATAAGTTAAGTATTACTATTTTTATCAATAAATTTGTCTATTTATTGATTTTCCATAAAAACGCAATGTAATTAAAACTCGAAAAAATCAGCTGATCGGCGGTAGACGACCCCGAGAGTTCAATAACCTTTGGTACGTTCAAAAGGCACTTTCATTCTTTTTCCTTCACCACTGGTAGAATGAAAAGAGACAGAAGATACGAGTGAGAAACTTCAGCGACATCTAGCGACGAAAAGCTCTTAGTTCTCTACGTTGCTAGTTTAGGTACCCATTTTCCTGTGTTTTATTAAGAAAATGCAATGAAAACGCAATTACTAAAAGTAGTTTTAAAACGGCGTTTTGTTATGTTTTCAAATTGTTATTTATTGATGATCATTCCCTTTCACGCAATAACAATAAGTAAAAACGAGAGCGAAGATACTGCAGGCCAAGCTCGTAAACTTCTAGATACATCTAGCGGCAAATCGCGGCGGTTTTGATGATATAGCGAATGAGAATGATAGATGCAGCGCCATCTAGTAGTGTAAAGCAAAATCAATCGGTAGTGTTTCCGTGTTAAGGGGTGCCACTTTTTAATGAGTAAATATCGTTTTTGAATAACCTACTAGATAAAATGCATGTTCTTCTGGAAAACATTTGTTTCGACTAAACATTTCAAAACGGTTTAGTAACTCTAGTATTTACAAAATTTTTATCTTTGTAATTTTTTAAAAATAAAACTTACATTACATGATTTTGATAAGTGCACTTTTTTATTTACTTGTCTTTAAAATGTGAGCTTTATTTTAATGAGTTTTTTTTACGTTAGCGCAGAAAAGTTTAAGACAAAAATCATTTGATTTTATTCAGAGCATGTAACTAATAACGATATCTTTTAACTCGCATAGTAATTTATTTAGGTTTTATAAAACACAAAAAGATCAGATAAATACATTTCATTAAAATGAGGGGAAGGTGTTAAATCATTTTTATTTCATCAAAATCTAAATGTATAAGAAACTTCATTTCTCCAGAAGTGTGTGTGTGTGTGTGTGTGTGAAATCATTAATAAAGTAAACTTTATGAAAAACTATTGGGAGTCCCAATTGAATTTTTTCCCGATTCAATTTTAGCATAATTATTTCTCTTGTTTCAATTTGAAAACTATAAAAAAGCTGAATAGTTGTTTCTCTTAATAAATACTTACTTTCCATGACTAACCCAATAGTATAATCCTATCGGGTTATTCATGATTAAACGCGATATTGAATTGTAAAACTTCACTTAGTACTTTTACGACAAACTTTATTTATAAATCTAAACACATAATTAATTACTATTAAAGTTGCTAAGTGAAATGAGTGGCAGCCCTAGATATCATTGCGAACTGCAGTGACCGGTGAGTGTGTTTATAAAAGATGCCGCTTCACTTTTTCGGTCCGTCCGCTTCCGGTTTCTGAGACATGCTGCCGCTACACGTGCTGCCAGCTCTAATTTTTTCCCTTAATTGGGTAATTTTTTTACGGGATAAATCCCATAAAAATTGTATGATATTAAAGAAAGGTAAGCTATCTTTTAAATATCTATCTATCTTTTTAATATTTTTGATTACATGGTATTATTAAAATATTTTTTTTTAAATTGAAGTTGATGTTATTGAAATAACATTAATCACTTTTAAAAATTTATTCGTATAACAATAAGTTAAGAGCGTCGCAAATAAGGTCGGTTAAGTTACGTTAGCCAATGTTCCTGCCAATCGGTTAACAAAAACGGTACCCGGATAATAATTTCTCTGTCTTACTTTTATTTATTAGGATACGGTGAAAACAATTATTAATGATGCACAACATTCTTTCAAACATTTTACTTATTTTGTCATAAAAATAATTTAGTATAGCGTACACTTTCAGACAATTTTCATTTGGTTTATTTCGGTATTATTAAAAATTACTTACGATATCAGTTCTTGTAATAATTCACAATGTTAAAACATAAATTTGATCGAACACGTAATGCACAATCCATTCAATTGCAGATTTCATTTCTAAAATAATTTTGGGAATTTGGTGAAAAAGTTGCAACACTCGAATATTCAGTAGGAAGAACTGAAGAACGAACGATCGCGGCTTCTTTGATATGAGCGAGGCATGAGGCCGACCAGTGGCAAAAAACTTTCCATCTCGGTTTGCGAATGCGTATTTTAAAGTTTATTTCGTTAAATTAGTTATCATTAGTTGAGCGTGTGAGGTTTATTTATTTAGTATTTATTTTAAGTTTTATTAGACAATAAGTGCATCTCATCATGCCTAATGCGTATGTGTACAGTGCTCGTGAGTATGGGAACATGGTTATGTGTTTAGGAGAAGCACGTGGCAATGCTTCTCTAGCTTTGAGAATTTACCGGGAAAGATTTCCTAATGTGCATCATCCAGGAGACTCTCGAACCATTACTGCTGCGTTTCAACGACTGTTGGAGAATCAACCGATCGTTCCGGTGGCGGTCGGCGGTGGGCGACCAATAGACATTGCAGCCGAGGAGCGTATTCTCGATGTGATCCAACGCAACCCCCGTTTGGGCACGAGGACTGCTGCGAAGTTACTGCAGCGGCCAAATGGGCCCTCAGTTTCGCATTGGACGGTGTACAAAGTTTTGCGAAGAAACAGAATGCGGCCTTACAAAATTCATAAAGTGCAAGCTTTGATACCCGAAGACCTACCCCGTCGTCGCACTTTCTGCCGTTGGTTGTTGGATCAACAACAGCGTCTTCCAGGATTTATTCAGCATGTTATCTGGACAGATGAATCTACATTCACAAGGAACGGCATGTGGAATAGACGAAATTCACATTTATGGTCTGAAACCAATCCACGTGCCACTCAAGAGACTGGCCACCAAACCCGATGGTCGGTCAACGTTTGGGCTGGCGTCTTCAACAATGTTATTTTTGGGCCGGTGTTTCTACCACAACGACTTGACGGAGCTGGGTATCTTAGGTTCATTAATGAGAGCCTTGATGAAATTCTTGAAGGCATATCATTAGCTGAGCTAAGAAGGGCTTGGTTTCAACACGATGGCTCACCGCCGCATGTGGTACGGCCGGTACGTGAGCGTCTCACTGAACTATTTGGTGACCGTTGGATCGGGCGATTAGGACCGCAAGCCTGGCCACCACGATCTCCTGATTTGACACCTTTGGACTTTTTTTTGTGGGCGTGTGTTAAAGAAAAAGTGTTCAATAGAGTTTGTGACAGTGCTGAGGAAATGCGGGCAAGAATTGTGAGTGCATTCGAGACAATAAGAACGAGTTGTATCGAGGACTCAACTCTCATGCCTCGACTTCACGAAGAGACGCGGCGACAGGCTCGAATTTGTGTTGAGATGAATGGGGCACAATTCGAGCCACACTTAGTTAGACCGCGGAGAACATGAACAGGTAAGTACGTTTTTGCATTACAATAAAAATCATGATGTTAAGTTTAACTGGTTAAATTAATCGTTACTTATAATAAAATTAAAGGTTATTGTAATAAATTACTTTACGTAGTATGTAGTACTTACGATCGTCTCTGTGTGTGTTTGTGTGAGCTCGTTTATGCATGTGTGCAACTATCAAAAGCGCTCGCGCCGCGCGGTCGTTCACCCGTGTATTTGTACGTTTTACATTGCGTGCTTAGAAAATACGATTTCGTTAAATACTAATTATTCAAGTAAACAAATATTTTTGTAGGACTCCATTAATATGGTATAATAACCATGTTAAAGATTCGGAAGCGTTTTCCTAACACCTTGTATATATATTGACGGGAGTACAAAATGAGCCTGTTTAAAAATGTATGACATGTATTATTATATATGTATCTGTTACCTATAATGGAACAACTAGTATGATATATATATATATATATATATATTATGTATGTATGTATATATTCGTATCACTAAGAGAGAAGTTGGCAGACAAGTTCGAGCGTGGCGGCTTGAACTGATATTTCTAAATATTGTTTTACCCTCAACTGAAGCTGATTATTTTGTTATTTAATGTGGTTAACTGATATTGACTTTATAAGTAAATTGTAGAATTAATTGTAATTTGAGGTTGTTGTTGTCCCAAATAAAATAAAATATATTTTAATGTATAAAATAATAGGATATTTGGCACACTTATTTAAGATTCAAAGTTGGGCTGATAACAAAATTCCAGATTATATCGTGGAATATCATACGATATAATCCGGATATTTTTAATTTTTTCCATGCTTAATATTTAACTATAATGATTAGTTATATCTGTCAGTAGTGTACTTAAGTAGTCGCAAAATAAGTTTCTATTTTGTTGTTTTTTAAGAATTATAACATAGCAATACTTATAGGTAACATATCAATATCTTATTAGTTAAGTAAGTAATAAGATATTGATTATTATATAAAATTTAAGTTATTAGTATTAGTTAATTAGTAGGCAGGTAGGTATGTTATATTTTTTCCCATCATATTTAATAAATCTAAAATCAAGCTTATACAGACCAATTCCGCAATCACTTCTCATCATGACCCATTTCTATAGCTGCGTTATCGGTTATTATATCATATATATTTTAGCAATTCTTAATGCAGATAGATCATCAGGATTTATTAATGTTAGATTCCTTTGCGTTAGATTATTTTACTAGAAAAGCTCATTGCAACAAACATAAGCATTGAGAGAGTCTATTCATGTCTTTGTAATTTCCTCTTGCACCAAATACATTTAAGTAAAACACACGAAAATCCCGTGAACGCTCACTTGTTTGCCAGCAATGCAAACATCCGAGTAAAATGTGCTCAATTCTTTTTTTGAGGTCACAGGAACGTTCCAAATTGAATCAGACGAGGGAAATTAAAAAGACCTCCTGTCACGTGGTAGATTAAATTATTTTTATTACAAGATACCCACGTTCCGCATTTTGCGGTTTCAACGTGCCATGTTTCCTGTTTCCAACGGAATGATATCGTCAAGATAACATGTGAAATTATTTGACAATTAACTTTGTCTTCTAATTAAAATTAACGATTCATGGATCGAGTAACATTGTAACCAAGTACATAGCTATCATATATTCAGTGGATGTGCGAATTCGTAATTATTCGATATAATTATCTGGATTCCAAACCCTCAAAATGATAAAACATTACTTTAGTCAATTTATTTGTACAATTTTTGTACAATAATAATAGTAATCTGGAATTAGTTAATTAATAACATTATAAAAAGATTAATAAATAATCTTTCAAAAATATGTCGTCGCAATCGTAATCTGTCATATGTCAAATAGCTGTAGCATAAAGTTCTTGAATATCTCTCAAATACCAAATTGTAAGGGTTTGCGATCGATTTTAAATAAGCAATAAGACAATAAGCCCCTCTGTACCCAGTAATTTATTTTTACAACAATATTAAACAGCAAATACTATTTTTAATTATAGAACTAAGATAATAATCCAAGTCGTGAAATTCTAAATATATTTCATTGTTTTCTATTTTGGAATTAGTATTTAATTTAAATTATATTCATGTATGCCATGTGTGCAGAAAATCTTAAATTATTTTTATTTCATACATACTTGTATGTAACTTATTTAAAAATATTAGTATCGTGTTAAAGATTCACCCCCGGGAACCATTCTTCAACTTCAATTAGGTAGGTAATATATTTTGTCAAATGGCGAGAAAAATAAACAACCCTTGCTGTCACGTGTCGCGCATGATATCGCCATAATTTCTTACAGAAAATATGTACCTATGTCTATGTCGTGTAAATTTACGATCTCATTACTCGTAAGTTATGAATGAATTATCGTAGAAAATTCTTCCAAAAATATAAACTTTATTGGGGTTTAAAAATATATGTATTGTACTTTGAAAGTATAGCTTCTTAGAGGCTCTCGGGCATGCTAGCTAGACATTTTCGATGTCGCATAAGAGGATTTCATTTCGCCTTTCCATCTAAGCTCATATTTTGCTTCCAATACCTGTTTAGCTGTTGCACAAAATATTGAGTGAATCAGTCGTACCATTATACGTCGTTGAAATGCTTACATTGCATAAGAACAAAGTAAGTCCTTTTTACCCGACTGCGCGACGCAAAGGAGGGTAATGTGTTTATCAGTCTATGTATCTATGTTTTTTTCTATGTGGCGTTCTAGAGACCAAATGCGTAGGCCGATTTTAATGATTCTTACGTCAATCGATTCGTCTTAACCTTGCGAGTGTCACTAAAGATATGACAGTAATCAAAATTCACCACAGCGACAAACAGACGCCATATTGTCAAAATTAAAACAAAAATTCGATGAACTATGTCAAGTAGGGTGTCGTTGAATTGGAATTTTAAAATCATCTTTAGGTTCATTTTATCATTTTTCATTTTAAATAATAGTTCAGGATATATAACGATTTAAAGTTGTTTAACAAAACATTCTCGCTAATTTTCTTACTTATTGATTTAAGTTTTTTTAAAGTATAAACGATATACAAATAGAAAAAAACGTGAAAAAAATGAAAAACAAATATTTTTGGTAAAAAAATAAAGCATATGCAGCTTTGAGCCGAGTGAGGTCTCTAGAGGGACTAATCATTAGTAGTTTAGATCACCGCAAGTTACTTAATAATCCCCACGATATTAACTCCCTCAATGAAATGACTAGATTGCAAAATTTACCATCTTATAATGAAGTCAACGAATCGTAACTAAAAAGTATAAAATAAATAATTTAAAGAAAACCAAAAAACCGGACTGCGAAAAAACGAATTTTAAAAAATAACCAATCTATACTTCCCAGGGGGCCCCGACTATGAGTCGTTATGTTCTGTATTACTTAACAAAATTCTAAACTACTGGGCTTATTTATTTCTTTTTAGTTTTTATTTAAATTATTTTTTTCATGTATTTTTTAAAATTCGTTTTTACGCCGTCGGGTTTTTGTTTTTATTTAAATTATTTATATTTTAAGGTTCCGTATTAAAAAACGAACCTTATAGTTTCGCCATAAGTATCGGTCTGGTCGACCATCTTTCGTTGTCTGTGTCGTCCATCTGTCCGTCTGTCCGCAGATTAGCTCAAAAACTATTGGTACTAGAAAGTTCTAATTTGGAATCAGTTAATTACGCTGACCAAACTTTTTTTCGGTGTTTCTAATGAGACATGTGAGTTAAATAAACCCCGTCGAATACGAGCGTTGGACAATTTGCGAAGTAAACAATTTTCAGAACGGCACGTAACGAAAATATAAAGAAAGTTGAGTTAAAAGACAGTGTCAGTATGAAAGTTAACGTTATAAATCCAAAGGTATGCTCCGTTGATTCGATTTGATATATAAAAAGAATGCCGCACGAAATAGCTAAGAACTGATCTGCGTGAATGTGGAAGAATGACGAAGCCGATGGAGACCAAGACTCATCTTCCAAGATCTCGTCAAGTTCGTATTATAGGTTATGTCAAAAGCCATCAGTACAAGGGATGATGCAGGAAAAAGAGGAAAAAAGTCGAAGAAGCCAAATGCGTGTGTAAATAGCATGCTTTGTGAAACTCGTTCTGTTTACCTACACCGCAAGAGATTCACTTGCAAAATAGGTAGTGATGCCCAACAAAATGGTCACAGCTCGCGTCTTGCCAAAACGTCTACTAATGTGGGACAAGCTGTACTATCAAAATAGTTATCATAAAATGGAAATTGTTATTTTGAGAAAAGTGTCACACAAAAACAAAAGGTCATAAACGAATTTCTTGCAATTTAGCACTGCTTTATTTGAAAATATAGGAAACTTATAATTATATTGAGAGTTTTCAAACCTAAATCTTGAGCTTATAGGAATACCATTATTTGCTACTTTAAATCTATTAAATCTATTGATTCCAGAAATAACATATCTACATATACTCGTATAACTTATGCGTATTATTTTCTTTGTGAATTTAGTAGAGAAGAAGAAGAAGAAGTTACTATTGCAAATAAAGGCATTATTATTATTACTGTTTTTTTTTAATTTTCGACAAATTTGTATGCAATCATACAAATAAAAAAAAAATATTTTGAAAATAAATAAAATTATCTTTAATACTTCATATAGATTTTGACGTTGCTAGAATGCACGACCACTTTTTTCATGGAAATTGATTGCCATTTCTTTTCATGTGATATAAAAGTGACTAATTTGTTTTTTGTTGCTTAAAATTTCAGTTAATAATTCAAAAAAATATATAGTATTGTGTTTTCAGTTATTTATTTAAAAATAAATATAGCATTGTGTTTTTGTGAAATTCTACCACGAAATCTACCGTTTCATTAAAGGAATTCTTGAAAACACAATACGACATTCATACAAAACATCCTTATTGTACACGACAGAGAATACAGAAAAAAAATACGTAGCGAAATCACTTTCGTAATCATCTCAGAGAACAATCAAAGTAAGTATATATATAGACGATTGGACAAAAGAAGAGAAAGGTTTGTTGTGAAAAAAATTTAAATATCTAATCAGTGGATTCTTTTGAAAGTAGCTAGCGAGCTATGATAACTCTGCGATTGATTTCAGTTAAACGAAAGATTATTTGACTTTTAAATTGGAATATCTCACCGTTCTTTACATAAGGTAAATTGTCTTTAAAAGCGTGACTAAACCAAAATCAGGAATTTCAAATGGATTGTTAAAATTAAGCAAAAACTCTAAATATACTATGTAAGTTCTGTTAAAAAATAATAAAACAACTATATCATATTATATCTATTTAATCGGGTCAAAACAAGAATTTGATTAAAATTTCTCGGTAGGAAAAAAACTACATATAAATTAAATTAAATTTCTTGTTGTAATTATATGCTTTTTATTTAGAAAAATTCATAAATGTGTACGTGTTACTTTATAATTGAAGTGTGACACTAATTTATTTGACCATAACGTAATGAACTGAAATTAATTAATTAAAAATAATTTTGATATTCTACTAGGCACAGTCTGCCATCTTTACTTTACATTTATTTACACCTTTATATTTCCTCTTAAATTAATGTGATTTTATATGTTGGTGTAAGGGATTATTTATCATTTTAACGTATAATATTATTACAGGTTTAAGAGTCGATGTGTTTCATCATTTCGTTTTCATCTCCTCATAGAGGGTACCCGCTAAAAGACAATTTCCTGAAATTCTCTGGGTAAATGAAATTCCACACAAGCAACGGCTAGAATCAAATAAACACTGTGCTTGGTTTGAAATATATAGTTTCAAATCTCAGTTGTTGTAAGTACAGTACACAGTATATTTATTAAGTCATAAGTGGGGATTTTATAATAATGCCTATAAAGAGTTGAAATATATTTTTTTAAATTAAGGTACATTTCTTTTTGTAACGGTCAGATTGGAGTGTGGACGTTTTGTGTGCTGTGGTTTGATAAATAATGACGTCATAAGAGTATATTTATATCCCAGTCTAATTTAGTTTATCTAAGAGCAGTGGCGTAGCTAGGTAACCAAATAAAAAAATGGGGCCCACAGCTATCAAACTGGTAAGGTTTTTTGAAGTAAAATCATTAAATATAAAAATGCTAAGCAATTTTATCATCAGCTCTTTTTCGTGCATGGCCAGGTAATAAACTATTAAACACTAACAACATAAATTACAATTATTTTTATACTTGGTGTAGGTATTGGGCATTAAACCGAAATAGAAAAAATTCAAGTGTTTATTATATATTTATTTATACGTTGCACCAGCTTACTGTTACTTAAGCTATCGCCATGCAAGTTATTTACAAAAATTATCAATAGAAATATTTTGTCCAGAAGTACTTGCAGAAGGCCGACTAAAAAGCTTTCAATTTTGGGCAATTTTTGTTAACTTTCTTCTCTTTCTTGGCGTTGTTTGCGTTTAAATGCACCACTGGGTTTCTTTTTTTTGTCCATAATATTAGTTATCTAATTTATTTTACAAGTAAAAGGAAAGCGAAACGTAATGATACGATACAAGATGTCGTTGGGGAATTTCTGGCAAACATTTTATCGCCGCCAGTGTTACCAAAATGACAAAAAAACATCGCGTAATTAATGGACGGCCCCCTACCGCATGTGACTTGTATTTATAAGGGTATTTTGAGTTACATAGTGAGTAGCAGAAGTCTGTAGATTTCTTTACGTAACTATGTATACGTACTATAATCAAATAAAATTGAACTTTTGTATGGTCCAGTACAAAACAAATTATTGACATACGCTTACTTATTCCTGGTAGGGGAGAGGGAGGCAGTTTAGAACAGGGGCAGTTTTGAAACAATCGACTTATGAACGCATTCTTCATCTTTTCTAACCTACTTAACCTTTTTAATTCTGATAATACCAAACTACACATCTGTCAGGTCCCAACTAACGTCAATGTCAGTGTCATTTTATAAAAATATTGCCGGTTATTTTACGAAGAAGAAAATAAACAAATATTTTTTTGCTTGTAAGCAAATTTCTGAAAAAGTAAGTATTATTTTCGAGTTATGATTATATTGTAGTGTTGCATATATTATGGACTCAGTATTTACAAATATAAGATCATTAAACACAAGTTAGTTTTTCGTCTATGAATATTTATTTCTGAAGGTCGGTATTGGGGCAGATTTGAAAAAAATCACTGGGGCACTTTTGAACAAAAATTTTCAAAAGTGGTCAAATTGCTTTTGAATAAAATGTTCAACAGTGCACATAAATAAAACATGGGTATTTATTTTATGAAAATTAAGTACCTAAGTGGTTTAATATTGTATTGTATTTACAGTCATAATGACACGAAATTATAAAAAGAAAAAAGAAAATGACGAAGAAGATGCACAACGAGCTGTTTTGTGTGTTATCAACGACGGCATGAAGCTGAGGACCGCTGCTGCAATATACTACATAAAACCATCTATTTTATTTTATAGAGTCAAAAAATATAAGGAGAATTTAACTCCTAAAAATGAAAAATATTGTAGCAAACACACTGTGCATCAAGTTTTCACAAACGATGAAGAGAGTATGCTGGAAAAGTACTTTCTAAAAATGTCTAAAATGAATTATAGTCTTACGTATTGTAAAGTGGATAAATAACAAGATTGCGGGTATTGAATGGATGAAAAACTTTATGAAAAAAGGCACTCAGTATTATCTTTGCAAAAACCTGAAAATACCAGCCTTTCTCGCTCAACAAGCTTTAATAAATTTTGTTTCTTTTTTCATAATTATTTTTTTATAGCCATTAAGGTTATTTAGTTTGTTTATTTTATATTTAACATGTTTTAAATTCCTTCCTAAGGCTTTTTGAAATGTTGTATTTTTTGAGATACTTATGAACGTTATTACTTTTTACTATTGTTTCGCAATATCTTATTTGATCTCGGTTGTAACTATAAGTTTGTTACTCTTGTTTAAGACTGCCCCAGGTGGTTCTGAGTTTTATATAGTTTATGCAATTAAAATTTATTTTAAGAAATAAATGAAAGTGTACTATGATAGTATTAGATACAAATAACATAAATATACTGTTGATTATATTCTTAGTAACATGGTTTTCATTTTATCATGGTTTTTCAAAACTGCCCCAATGCATTTCAAATGTGCCCCATCCACGGGGCCCATTTGAACAAAATTGAGTTTTAAAAAAACAGAAATTGTGTTACATTTAACAACTCAAAATAAATAAATATCGTTTTTGTTATGTAGTATAAGCCCCATATCTAATATTTAAATAAATTAAATCTTGATTAGTAATACCATACAAGAAATATTATATTTTACTTAAAAAGTGTTCTAATGTGGCCCCCTCTCCCCTACATTAAATTTTTAACCATTCTCCAGAAAAAAAATCTTGACTCGAAGTTCACAATCGCGAATCACATAAACGCATATCTATAAATAATAATATGCAGATATTGATATCCGACAAATTGATGAAAACATTAATAACACTGTCAACCCACACAAATAATTTAGGGGAATTCTCTTTTTATAACTTTGGAATTTCTCACAATTCTCACAATAGTTGCCATGATTAAACTCGAGTTGTCACCTGTCATATTTATTTTGAAAATGGGAGAAATTTTCAAAGGTTGAGTTCGATTGAGATTTTCTGGTAAAGATTCGAGGGCCCCCTGAGTTTGGGGGCCCCGGGGCACTGCCCCGCCTAGCCCCTTGGTAGCTACGCCACTGTCTAAGAGCAAGGCTTACTATTGAAATACTTTATTTGTTCTTGTAAATTTTGTTTATTAAAACTTTGCGGTATTTACGAGTATGGACAAGAAAATCCACATAAGTGCTGTATATAGATATAAAAAATATAACGTCCTTTTTTATTTATATTAATAAGTAATTCGTAATAAACTTTGTATTTTTTTCTGTCTCAGCTTGACTTAAAGAAGCAGTTTGACGAAGGCGACACAACGAATTACCAAACAAACGGCGAATTCGACCTGGTGAGCTTCGAGGCGATCCGGCATAATCAGTTCTACTCTTGCTGCGTGGAACCCTATCCTGACATCACCTACGTCATTAAGTTGCGAAGACGACCGATGTTCTATGTCTTCAACCTCATACTACCCTGTTTACTAATCAATGGAATAGGTAAGGCATACAGATTTATCTTTATAGAACTAGACAAGTTGGGTTGTACTGAAAAATCCCCCTCCTATCAGATTAACAGGATCTCCGAGTCTTTCTACTCATTAAATGAAATGAAATAAAGAGTCCATGATGGTCTCGTTTTTAACCGACTTCAAAATCAAAAAGGAGGAGGTTATATGTTATAATTTGACTTATTTTCAAAATTATTTTTTTATTCTTAATGAACAGAGGTGGTCCCATTTCAATTTTATCGAAATTAAATCCATAGTCTTCCTTTTATAACAAACCAAAATACACTTTCCCTCAAATATCCCATAAATACTCGTAATTAGGTGAAATATTCATTTCAGCTAAAAATAAAAGAATGTGTATTTAGCATTCATTCAAAATCCAAAAGGAGGATTTTCTATTACCCCTTGATGTATGTTTTTTTATGAAAGTAGGTATGTTCATTGATTTCTTCTTGAATTATGAACCTAATTTCTATCAAACTAACTGTTTACAAACATTCAAAGAACAAAGAAGCATTCAAGTTTTTATCTACTCTTGCTTCTCGTTTTTATCTGGTTACTGTGTGATTAAAAATTGTCTTTTTTTTTCTTTCTAAAATTGGTCACTAAGGTACTGGTTGTTATTCGCACCTTTATCGTTAACTTAAGTTATAAAGATGTGCCGCTGTTCAACATTTCAAGTAATTATGGTTTATAACAGTATTTTATCTTTATTTCTGTCAAAGTAATGTTTTTTACAAGCATGCATGGCTATCTAGATTTAAAAAATATCGGGTTAGATGTTGATCGTAATTTATAACGATTTGTCTTGTCTATTCTTATTCATATATTTAAGTCTTCGGTAAGGTATAATGTATTGATTTTCTTAATTTACGTATACGTTATGAGAAACTGTTATATGATTGAAAGTTTTCAAATTTACTTATGTTAAAGACAAGTTAGATTAGATATAAGTAGTTTGACTAGAATCAAATTGGAATAGTTTGGTTTAAATAGACTTTGTCTCTGGTATAAGGTTGATGTTTTTTAATTTCCTTTATGCTTTCAAATACCTTATAGTGTTCATTTCTCATAAGTGAGTATTATCAATCATATTGAGTTGATTTAATGCTAAGACGAGTGGGTGTCACACTTAGGTTTTCGTAAAGGTATCAATCAAAAGAAAAGTTTCAAACAAAACTTTGTATTTTAACTTTATACGTTTTTCATTGACATGAAAGGAAATTTTTTCGGCAATATTTGTACAGGTCGATTTATTGGAACACTTTGACCCTTCTCAAGTTTTTGGTTGTAGTTTTACTAGAATAGAAAATCTATATATATATATATAAAACACAGATTCTTTAATTCTTTGTTGAAAATAAAGAAAAATATAACAAAAGAAACTAATGCGAATAATTTGAAATAAAATAATACAAGTTAAAAAAGTAGTTCTCGATTGGAGAAGAATTTCAAATATGAGACTATAAATTTCATTGGAGTCGCACGAGCTATTTAGTATTAACATAATGAAGTACCGCAGACTATTCGTTAAGTTTCTACAAATCTCGTATCCGGTAACGATATTATCTAGCGAGCGTTCTTGGACTTGATTGCAAGGATGATTTTGTAAAGGGTATAAAAATGAAGACTATTTGTAATGGCCACTAGTATTATTAAATGTACTGCTCCACTCAGTCAGATCATTGCTATACTTTAAATATTGTATCTTTTATGTCGTCGATTTCTATAGTAAAATGAATTTATCTTATACCGTTATTATAGAAAAATACTTGAAAAAACCTGCCGCTGACAATGATACTCTTACTCTCTCAACGTACTCTTTTGCTTTATAATTATTTTAGTAAGCATATTTTTCAACTACCCAAACTATTTATGTGTATCTGAAGGAATTTGCGTGTAATCGTTTTGGCATAATTCTTTTTAATAAAATAATACCTTTTTGTAATTGTAATTTAGCATTTTTTGCATAATTTTAATTCGCATAATGTTATTAAAAATAACACCCCTATCGATTAGATTATATTGGAATTGTGGAATCATGATCAAAACAAAATACTTACCAAACGTGTATTTATAGTAATAACAACTTAGGCATATGTGAAAACAAGATAAGGACAAACAAATGTATATCATATTAATACTTAAAATTGAATGTGAAAATTTGTGGGAAACTTGTCTGAGACAGTTGATCTTTTCAAACAATTTTTTCTATAAAATAAACATTATAATATAGCATTGTGATAGCCATATTTGTTTATAATTTGTTAACTATTTTTGAATTAATAATTTGCATAAAAAATAAATTAGTCATTGATTAGATTTTTTTTTTCTGTAGCTCTTCTGGTATTCTACGTGCCGTCAGAATCAGGAGAAAAAGTGACACTCGGTATAAGCGCTCTATTATCCATGACAGTTTTCCTGATGACTATACGAGATACTCTACCACCTACGGAGAAGACGCCACTAATTAGTAAGTTACAATTTAAATCCATATATTATATAGTGTTATAATTAAATAGACCAATAAACATTAATTTACCTTTTTTTCTGTATGTTGAATAGTTCGGTGTCTTATGAAATGAGAACATTATTCTGCCCCCTGCAATAAAAATACAATTTTATGATTATTGTAATGAATTTAAAGAAAAATACGATTGTTGACTTTATAACTAAGTTTTAGTAGGTAACTACTACACTTTTATTGTAGGTACAAAAATAGAAAAAATCTTTAATGTGAAAAGAGAGCTCAATTTAATAACATGTTCTTTATTCATAATTATGAGTTGTGCAACAACTTTTGAATAACCCATTTACATCACTCACTCGAGACTGGATTGATTTATAACATCTACAACCATCTGGGGCTCATTTTAGATATTTAAATAGCAAAACTAGTGCATATATACAAACAGTCTATAATAGCAATGTCGCCCATATCGGATAACGGAGAGAACTAGACTAAGAACTCACCATAAGAGTGAATGGTGCACCTCTTTAAATCTCGCCGAGCCTTGTCGGTGAGCCTTCTCGGCGTAAGTTTGTAGGGCCTATTAAACCTGTGGGGCCTATTTTATAAAAACACCGGTTTTCCTTTTGACGTATGGCAATTTATTGAAAAAATGTGTGCATTTTCCGTGTCATTCGTTTAGAAGTGTAATTCAAATCACCTAATCAAACAACGATAGCTGAAAATAGTGAAATCTCTAATGTATCGATTGAAAGCCCTATTCTTTTTAAGTTCTTATTAAAAAGAATAAGGCTTTTAAAGAATAATTGTTTTATAAAGTGATCTGAATCGCTTAGCCCGACAGTTTGTTTATTAATATAATTAATCACAATGATTAAGCAGACGGTATATAATTAAATAGGTATTTATGTTATTTATACTCAGCATGTATAAATTCAGGCAACTTGTACACAGATGTCCACTTTTTGATTTAATGTACATATCTGTTAGTCTTTTTGTGGGTTGACAAAATAAAAGCCTATTAAATTCTATTCTAAAACTTCAATCTGATTTTTTTTTCCTAAATGAATAGTCAGCAATTTCACTGGAAATTCACATTGTACCTATAATTTAAATTGCGGTTTCTCAAAAGGAAAATGACACTCTTTTATGACTATCACGTCCTTCTATCACATCCGTTTGCTATTTATGGATCAATTTGCTGAAAATTGATACATACAGTGTATGTTGGTTGTGTAATAAAATATTATCTAAAAATATCCATTACCACAGTTCATTAATTATGTTATACTGAATACTACGGAAGAAGCGTTTTTCACGGTTTGTAATTAAAGAGATCAGAGATTAATGTTAATAGCCTACGCGTTTTGCTTAAATGGACCATTAATTACTATGTTCTTTCTTGCTAGTACAAGAAATGTGATGATAAGAATACTGATTATTTTAATCTTGACATTTCATTGTGATACTTGAAATTATTATTTTATCTTCAGAGAAGCAACGATGCTCTTCTAGAATAAAATCCATCATCTTTTATAAGTAAATGTTAATTATAAGTGATCAACTGTTATTATAAAAACAGGCTCAATTTATATATAGTTTATTGACCTCATAGACAGAAACGCATAGGGAGAATATACTTGTTTTTGAAAGCTGTATGTTTAAAGGAAAATATATACTAATTTTTTTTCTTTGTAGGTTTGTATTATGGAGTTAGTACGTGTTTAGTATCATTCTCTGCATCACTCTCCGTGGTCACCCTTAACATATCGTACAGGCAAGTTTTATTCGTTCTATTTTGATACTACTTTTAAGTAAAACTTTGTTTTAAGTCTTCTATACGAATGAACGGAAAGAAAATTTCTTCAACTTATTCACATTCAACAATGAAACTTTTGATGACTGGAAGGTAACGATTAAAATATTAACCGCTTACGAGTATACAATCTTGTAAATATATACTTCATATTATAAAGTTTCTAACTTTATTTGTTTGCTATTTGTTTAATCTTCAGAAATACTAATCCGATTACGAAAATTCTTTCATCTACGGTAAGCTACATCATACGCGAGTGCTATAGGATTAATTTCCTCGATTCCCTCGATGATAAATTCCCTCTACAGAGAATACAACTAGTAAACTATAAATATGTTACTCAAATAAATTGTTAAATTAATTAACTTAAATATAGAGACAGCTATGCTATTTCAATCAGCATGCTTACTCTTGAACGCAATCGCAATCGACATTGCAATTGTGACGTTTCGCACTTTTGATTTGGTACACTATTGCCAATTTGCTCTATATTGCGTGGTTATTGGACGAATTAATGGACATTATGTAAGTATTCATATTTCAAGAGTGATCAAGTAAGCGTGCCGTTGGTTGTGACACGTAGTAAATTTTCAAATAAAAAAAAAACGAAAAAATACTGTAACACTAAGATATTTGTCAGTATATTATTCTGTTGTCCAACATTTGAAATAAGCTAAATCTGAAAGGCAAGTGCTTCGAAGTTTCGCTATAAAATGATAGTTTCTGATAGTACCAAGTGTCGACGATTTCTTTAACTTTAGTCTGACGAAAGTAGGCTAGCGATTAAACTAAATTGTAAAAAGATCAGTTAACTATAACATTAGATTTCTTTAGCTATTTAGGTATGTATAAAAATTTAAAAAGTTTTTTTTTGTCCCTTAGACTTTTTTTTGCGTAATTAATAAAATACAGCGATACATTGAGTTTAAATGTCGTATGACGTCACACCTTTATACATTTTCTACATAGTTGCGTTTCTACATAGTCAGTGTGTTAATTTAACACGCTAATCATACTTAGTGGTTAACGCTGCTATACATGTTAAGACGTTAAGAATTTAGCGTATTAACGCGTAACGATCACAGGCGATCACAAGCACAAGCGCCACGATCACAAGCGCCGCGGTCCGCGATCGTAGTCGTTAAGCAACTTTCGCAAAGGTCGGTCACGGGATGGGTGACCAAAAAATTATTATCTCGAGCTACTCCGTGCTTCGGAAGGCACCTTAAGCCGTTGGTCCCGGCTGCATTTGCAGTCGTTAATACCTTCCAATCCGCATTGGGCCAGCGTGGAGGGTCATGGCCCATCCTCCTTAACCATCCATAAGGAAGGCCTGAGCCCCTGCAGTGGGGACGTAAAAAGGCTGGTGATGATCACAGGCGCCCGCGTCCGAGCGGGCAGTATTCGCGTGAGCGTGAACGCTAATGCATACATAATATATCTTGAATGATTTACTCCCACAGCACGTTTAATACAATTACACGTGAAGATGATTTTGAAGTCAACGTGTAGGTGCGATTGTTAATAGACACGTTAACGATTTATTCTCATAGCTTGTTAAATATGATCATGTATTATTAACATAGTTTAGTTAATTGATATTTTCAATTGTTTAGATTAAATAGCGATTATATAAGTAAAATAAAATTTTATGTCACGTAAAAAATTTAGTTATAATTATAAAAATAATATAAGTTTAAATATATTTTTTTAACATGAGTTTATGATAAGTACGTGTTGATAATAAAGATGATGAGTTAACCTAAGGTCAAATTTTAGTGAAGGGATGTAAACAATGTACGTAGTTCATTTTCTTTTATTTCACGTATATCATACTCGGTGGAACAGAACGACCGGCACTCCCGAGGTTCCTGGAGAGTACTATTTGTCTTTAATATGATGTCAAAATAATTATAAGTCTAGGTTAAATAATTTCGGAGATATTAAATTACAAAGTTTTTGGAAAAAAATGAGTGTTTTCAACCCTGAGTCAGCTGTTTTTGGGACGTACTAAGGAACAAGTTTTTAATCGGCCATTGACTTCTTCATTTCTAAAAACGAAATAAACTAGTTTATGATTTATGAGACCGCTTTCATGCAAATTCTACCAGACAATCACTAAACAAAATGCTTAAATTGATTAAAAGACTAACAGCCCGTTTCTGATTTGAAAAAAGTAGAAAATCTCTACTGATTATTCTTAATAACCTACGTTTTTTATTTTCCCAAGTCAAATAGTCCTAGTTTTATCAAACTGCTATCAACTGATCATCAAAAAACTAAAATCGCAAACGAAAACTAAGTAATGTTTGTTAATTGTTTTTTTAACAATTTCAAACTGACTATCACTAAACGAATCAGTCAAAATGCTGAAATTAATTTATAGACTAACATTTTAAATGTATTTAAAAAGAAAATTCAAAAACAATTGCATGGTAACAAAATACGAATTCGGAAAATAGATAAACTGAAATCGTCCCTTGTTATCAAAGGCAAAGCGAACCGAGCTCCATTCACTCATTCACTCGCCGTGCGCGCGACTTTTTTTGTTCTGTCGGCGTCGGCGCCTTTGTTTCAGTCACTGCCGGACATTTGCGCGTGAGGCGCGTTATTGCATCACTACCACCGTACCGCTGCGAAGCGACTTTTTGTCGATTTTTGTTTTGTTCTAGTTCATTTTTAATTCAATTTTTGTTAATAAGATACTACAGTGTTCGTCTTGAGTGTTAAGTTTAGTTTAGTGAAGATTGTGTTTAGTTTTGTGTGAAATGTGATGTGTTTTGCGCGTGCAATGCACTGGCATGAAAGAGCGTGCTTAGCTGTCTTCAGAGAAGAATTGGCTATTTTCTACATCGACTAACATGAAGATATCGATAAATAATTAAATTAAATTAATATATTTCGCAGTCTGTAGTTATCTGCGTACAATCGATTTTGCGCATGCACGTTATAGGGCTCTCAACTCTTAGAAATTTAAAAATTTTACTCCATTTTTACACCTCCTCTATTTTGAAATATTTGTCAAATAAAATGAACGTTTGCATATAACCTAACTTGAAACTTTCGGCTGTGTCCGTCATTTTGTTGCTCCCTGTATAATATAAAAATAATAAAATATTGATAAATTATCGCACACAATTCAAAAATCGACATATATTAAATAACTTGCTACGAGATTTAGCGTACTATTTTATTTAATGCGTCTGTCGCGCAGCCTTTTTATTATGTATTTATTATGTACGTATTAATAAATTAACGCTTGCTCTTTAATGCGTTAATTTAGCGTTTAGTCTGCAGCGTGTTAATGTATTATACTCGTTTTGCCCCGCAAATTGAATCAAATTTCTTATTAAAATGAAGCAAAAAAAAAATATATTTTTAGTCCGTCATTCACTAAAAAATATTTTTCTTTTATCTGAATGACGGACTAAAAAGATTTTTTTTACCCATGCATCATCCCTATTATGGAAGTTACTAGTACCTTTTTTTCTGACGGTCCCCAAAATGAGGCTAGGTTGAAATGGCAAAGGCATACCCACTAAAACCCACCGACGTTCCTCTCTATGGAAGCGATGCACGGGGGCAGCCATTCGACTTTTGAACGTTCCCCTTTCATATTCGTCAACAACACGTCTGTGGTATAGAATCTCATAAGTAGAATGGGTAATGAACCAGCGAAGACGGGTGGATAAATGCATCTATGCGTTAAAATATAACGAAATTCAATATATTTGGTCACTCCTTCAATTAAGAACCGACATATGCGAAACTTGTTTAGTCGTTTAAAACTAAGTCTCGGTAGTACCATAACTCCAGTTGATGTTAAGGTTTGTGTCAGAATTGACAATGTCTGTCACGCTAACTTTAACATTGACGGAGGAATTCGATGACCTTTTTTCATTCTTCTGTGCGTTGCACCATCCTCTTTCTTGCCACAGTAAAACAATAACTTTAACCGACGAAACTGAGGCGGTTATAGTTTACAGTTAAAGTTATGACGTCATCCAACCATTGCCATTTTAAAAAAATATTATTCTTAAAGTAAATCGGTACAACATTACCTTAATATCTAATTTCAGTTATGAGTCATTTACTGCATCATTGAAATCCTTGGAGAAGATCGAATGCCAAATTTAATACTATTACGAGCAGGGCTCTTGATAAAATGAATGCATATAGAGTTCACAGTAAAAATTTTGTCCTGACATAGGTAGAGACAACGCATAGTCTAAACCGCTGGTTGTAGACTTTAGAAAGAAAATTTATCTTATTACGTAGAGGTGTACTATATTGGATTTCTAGAAATTCCACCTTGGAAAGGGTTGAAATGGGTAAAAATATTTGCATAAAAATTCTTTGTTTCCTTTGACCAAAATAAAGCTGAGTGTAACAGATAGTAAATAAAATAAAATCCATTTATTTGGGACAAAAAAAAAAACAAAAAACAGAAGCAACACTTAATAAAATTACATAGGCAACTAAATCTTTGTCCCAAAACGGTTCCAGCTCAGCTTATGCTGATATAGTATAAAATACAATTCATAATTTTAAAATAAGCGGGTTTGTGAACTCAACCGGTTTCTGTTATTTCATCGTATTTGTATTACTGATTAATTTATAATTGCAATGGATCTGTATATTATTATATTAGCCAAATGTTTTTACGTAATGAGAACTGGATATTAAAACTCCGCATCGTTATGAAATGCAAAGTTTAATGGTTGTTTTATTTCGTTAATTTAAGAAAGCATATAAATATTTTTAATGAAATATGCTCAAAAATCCACTAACGGCAGGTAATATGATAGGGGACTCGAACCCACGACCTAAAATAATCCAGGCGACTGCTCTAACCATAAGAATATTTTTAAATATAGTATTGTGAATGCAAAATCAAATTGTGAATATAATAAGAGTATTAATTTTAGTAAAAAACCTTAGTGTTATACGTATCACGTTCTTTGCGTGGCTGTTTGATAAGATATT